AGCTACGGCACCCAAGCCCTAAACCCCTAAACCCCTAAACCCCTAAACCCTAAACCCTAAACCCCTAAACCCCTAAACCCCTAAACCCTAAACCCTAAACCCTAAACCCTAAACCCTAAAGCCTAAACCCCTAAACTCTGAACCTGAGATTCTAGGGTCCCATATGCTGGAATCCGAGCGCAGGGACTCCCGTGGTTGACGGGCACTGGGGTTCAGGGTTGAAGGGTTGAAAGGGGTCCTAAAACCTAAACCCTAAAACGGTTTAGGGTTTAGGGTTTGGGGTTTAGGGTTTAGGGTTTAGGGTTTACTCTCCTTCCGAAAAATGTGAACTACCGATGCTCTTGTCATTACAGCCCCCCCTGCATCATGCCATTCAAAAGTGCTGTGCAGCGTTAAGAAGCCGCCCAGGAGCAATTACAAGACCCACCCGAAACCCCCCATTAAGGGTTTGTAGGGGCCTAAACAACAATTACCAATACTATTTTGGGGGCTCCTTATTATAATCATACTATAATGGGCAACAAGGGGCTCCTTATTATAATCATACTATAATGGGCAACAAACCCCTACTCTAATTATTAAGGCCCCTATATTAAACCCTAGAGCCCTCAATCTCCTTACAGCTCCGTCACTGCCGGAAACTCCACTGATTCTTTGACAAGTCTTCATCTTTTCTCAAGGAGTTTGAGCCATGGTCATAAAGGATGTCGCTCCAAACGTCTTTAAGCTCTGGAAACCCTAAACCCTAAACCCTAAACCCTAAACCCTAGACCCTAAACCCTAAACTGCACGCGGTAAGAGCTCAACATCCCAGCCCCTGAACGCCAAACCCTCGAAATCCTAAGCCCTAGATCCTAAATGCCTGAGCTCTGAAACCCTAAACTGTACGCCTTAAGCCCTATACCATAAACGCCTTAACTGTAAAGCCCTGATGAACCTTTAAACCTTAAACCCTGAATACATTAATTCTTAAAGCCATAAGCCCTGAACCTTCATTGCTGTTAAAAGGCCGGGAGGGTCGGCACGGCCCTGGGCGCCGTGGACGCGGCGGTTTGCCGGCCCTGTGCTCCAGGGGAGTGGAGCGAGGCGTTTCCTTTTTTTTTTTTGTTCTTCTTCTTTCTTGGTGCGGTTTGGGTCAGGCCCCTTTGAAGGATCGTAGGGTTTCGGGTTATAGGGTTTTGGGCTTACGGTTTCAGGGGTTGGTATTAAGACAGGGTTTTGGGGCTTCGGGATGAGCACCGGTTGATGCCACAAATCCTGCATTATCTTAAGGACCCTAAAACTTATTCCTTATTATGGGTAGTGCAGGATTTTTGTCATCAGCCGTACTGTTGAGGGAGATGTGAGTTTTCAGGGGTTTCAGGGTGATCAAAGGAAGGATTGTCAGTGCTTAGGTTCGGTTCACCCAGTGCTCTAAGCCATAAATCCAAAGTCCTCAAAGCCTGTTCACAAGCCTTAAACCTTGAACCCTAAACCCTAACCCTTAAACCCAAACCTCTAAGCCCTAGACCCTAAACCCAAACCCCTAAACCCTAACCTCTACAACCCTAAACCCAAACTTCTACACCCTAAACTCTAACCTCAAAGCCCTAAACCCCAAACCCTAAACTCTAAGCCCTAAAACCCTAAACCCCTAAACTAAACCCTAATCTTTAAACCCTGAGCCCCGAACCCTAACCTGTAAACCCTAAACCCCTAAACCCTGAACCCCTAAACCCGAACCTCTACAACCCTAAACCCAAACCTCTACACCCTAAACCCTAAACACCTAACCCCCTAAACCCCTAAACCCCTGAACCCCTAAACCCCTGAACCCTAAACCCTAAATGCCTAAACCCACAAACCCCTAAACCCCTGAACCCCGAACCC